TTAAAGGGGGGGGGGGGGGAATCTCACCTTAGAATCGAGTAAATATGGTACTAGTTCATTGTTCTAACTGTTACTGCAGCACTGGGGTTAGGTAGATGATAATAATTACATCCCATTTGCACTATATAAATTTGAAGTAAATATTGAAGTCAATACAGTACACATCCTTGTAGAACTACTATGAAAACAATCCAGGCCATGGTGCCTAGGCATCAGGCCATTTGTTGTGTCCATTTTTTAATCCTCCTGTTTCATTTTTTGACAGAAATTAATCCGCCTTTGTGGTGAAGTTTTAGCAACACCAACAGAAAATGAAGAAATTCAGTTTCTCTGCATAGTATGTGCAAAGCTGAAACAGGATCCATACCTGGTCAACTTCTTCCTTGAGGTGCGTAGGTCAAATCCCTAGTTTGCAGGTACATTTAAAAACAAGTATACTAGAGACAAAAGCTTCCTGTGAAATGGAGATATTTACTGTAACCTATCCTGAAATAAACAAGGGAGTTTTCTTTATTTTTGCTTGTAGAGGCTTGAGTAGTTTCATTCTTTTTTGCCACAATTTCATTCAGAACTCACAACTTTTCCAGCTTAAATCCCTGTAGAGCACAGCCTTTACAGGCCACAAATTAAAATACGTAAGTAAATAAAAAGAGTCCAGTGGCAAAGTAACAATGTGACGGGGGACTCCTGCCTTCAGCAATGAACTTGGACATTTGCCTTGTTTTTCGTCTCAGGCTAGTTGAGACCAAGGAACAGGTCCTGTATGGCATTGAGTATATCTTGCAAGATGCTGAATGCCTTGCAGGATTGAGCCCTTACTTGGTTGTGAGACATGGTTTGAAGTATTAACTACAAAATTGCTGACTAACAGTCTCCAACGTGGCATTGTTTTCTAGCTGAAAAGAAGATGAGTTTCTATGGTCTGTTCCTGTAACTTAATATATAACATTGGTATACATGAGAGTGTGAGTAGAAATAATTTGTAAGTTGAATTCCTGCTCTTATCTGGACAGAATAAATAAAAGCATAGATTACAGAATGTAGCCTCCATTTAAAAAATCCTCACGTTTATTTGATGTGGTGTTTACTATTTTGTCACAAGAAGCATTAGATATAGCGTATGTAAAGATATATAATGTGTGCAAGGAATATTTCATAGGCTTTCCCAAAAAAGGATTCATTTTCCATTTTTCACCCCAAACAATAATTTTATGCTTTCATCTCCAGTGTAGTGTTACTGTTCAGACCTCAAATAATAAGGGGATTCAGGTTTAAAGTTGCGTATTACAGCTTTCTTTAGAAGTTACCCAGATAGCCATCTCAGGTCACCAGACCTGTAGAAGCTGTAGAGTCAGTACAGGTGCTGCTTCTATTACAATGCTAGAATTGTTGACATCCTGGCAGCATTCAGAAGCCAGCCTGGAGGGATATTACTTGGAGAACATTCCAGCAGTCTAAAATGGGAAAACTTAAACATGGTTGGAAAAAATCATATGATCTGCATCACAACCAAGGTTTGGGCAGTCGAGCATAATGGTTAGAGCAGGGGGAGGGGGAAACTGCTGACAAGATATAGGCCAAAATGGAAGTCCAAATAAGAAGATCAGATTCAGAAGATTCATGCTGAAATCATAGAGCTGCAGACCAAGCTGATCACCAGCTGGAGATGGCAAGAGCTGGAGACATGACATAGTATGGGGCTTACTATGAAGGTGTTTCAGAAACCAACAGCAGAATGGCTGCCCAGGTGTATGTCTGTGACAAAGTGGGAAATGACACAGCAGCAAGAAACATTGATGGTGGCCTTGTCCAAGGCACCTATCATTTATGACTAGGTAGAGAAGTGATGTGGTCCAATAATTGATCATTGCACACAAAATAGTTTTTGTGATTTCTGAAACACTGTCTTAGAATGACTCAAATGTGCAACAGAGACAAATTAAATAGATGCTTGCTGGTAATCGGATCAATCCTGTGGTCACATGGGAGTAGGGTTTCCTTAGGTATGGCTTTGCTAATTCTTCTCAGCCTAATCAGAATAGAGAAAATAAGACACTCAGTGACTGTTATGCTAATAATCTCACTGAAATAAAATCTGAGACTCATAAGAAGCAAAACTATTTATCAAATGTGATTATGCTGCTTGACTTTCAGAATATCAGAATGAGAAGTTTTAGCATGTGGCAGATTTCAAAAGCAGGATGTGGCAGATTTCAAAAGCAGGATGATACTGAATTGCCAAGAGAATTTTAGCTTCACTGAGTTTTGTGTTAGAATTGCGTTTTAGCTTAAAGAGGTGACTGGAAGCTCTGTAATCCTTGAAATGATACTTTTAAATAGTGGCCTGAAGCAGAACTCTTTACCAATTTCAGGGAAGACATTATAGAGCATTTTACATGTCCCTGTTCAAGAAACAGACCTTTCTTGAAATGCAGACTGTTGGGTCTACCAGTCATGCTTCAAGGAATTTCAGTATCCTTAAGTTGTGACTTGATATCTAGCTCACCTTGAAAGACCTGAGAGAGTAAACTTTCTGCGTGGCGTTTTTCTTGCAAATCCCATTAACACGGACAGTATTTGTAGCTGAAACTTTGGTATCACATTCTTCATCTACACTTCTGTACCTGCGTGCTTATATATAGATATAAACGTACCCTCCTATTGGAAGCTTCTTACTGTGCTTGCACTATATTTTTTAGACCTATACATATGAAAAAGGTAGTCATGTATTTGATTCTGTTTTCAGTAGTTTGCTTTTCACTACTCTAGTTGAGGTACTTTGTTACAAAATCTTTCTTCTGTTTTAGCTGGGAGCCTCATGGCATATCTGCATCTCTTGGGAAAATTAAACCAATTTAGGTAGACAGCAATTGATAAGACATCACAAAAATACTTTTCGAAGCCTACTCAAGTCTCAGCCTCTAGGATCTAATGGCAGCCAGTTCCAAAGGCTAATTGTGTGTTGTTTAAAAGGAGTTTTTGTTCCTTGTTTTTACCTTTCTCTCCTAATTTAATTATGTTTCCCTTAGCTTTTTTGGATCAAGAGAATGGATAAACAGGAATGCTTGATTTATCTTCTTATCCGAGTCATTATTTTATACACCTTTTTTTCAAATCATGTCTGTCTTCAGCCCTTTCTAAATAGTCCCCATTTTGATAATCTCCTGCTAGAGAAGATATTGCAGCTACTGATGGATTCCACTTCCATCCTCTTGATATTTTGATTTCTGCTGTGTCATTTTAGGGCTGGGCTGACTAAATGGTTGGGGGGGAATTTTGGATATTACAAGCTGACAATGCATTTATTTTTGATCCCAGCCATGTTCTGAGCAGACTGTCTCACTAAGCTTTGATGCCACAGCTTTTTCACAACGTGTTATTAAATTAGTTTTAACTTTCGTAGGGTGGAGTTGTATGATCTGCAGCAGAATCTGGCTTTCTAATGTTATATGTGAAGAAAATGGATCACTGTGTTTTTAAGTTGCCTGTTCCTCACTGTGTTGTCTGCTCACTTAGAGGAACAGTATGATTAGAAAGCATTAAACATATATTGTATGAAACCTTTTCTATTAGGTCATTCAAGATCCTGTCCTGCACTCTTACAGGAAGCAGGTGAGCAGCTCACCTGCAGAACTGCATGACTAACCAAATGCAACTTTTATATGTGTCTGACGTGTAGTATGCTGTCTATTACCTGCTAGAAAAATATGTGGTGAGCCATCTTCAAACTGAAAGGGGTACTTATATCTTTGGGGCCTTTTGCCTTCTCATACAGGGGTCATAGTTCATGTATGATAAAGGCACTTTCCATTTATAGACAACATGAGAGATACTATAAGAACGAGTAATTTCGTTGCTAAAAATAGTTGATATAAAATATTTGGCTTTGTACACTGATCACTTTGTGTCCTTATGCTATTGGCAGTATAGGAAAGCACGTCTTGGAGAAAAGACCATTTTTTGTGTATGCTAAAACCATAATTTTTCCAGTGTATCCCAAATTCATTCTTCTGTACTAGAGTGTATGTAGCACTGCTGTACAGTGTATCCCAAATTCGTACTTCTTGTACCATGTACTAGATTAATTCTGATATTGGCAGACCTGGGTTGCCTTCCCCCTGTATTACTACATCGTTTCATTCACTATAATCTCTTCACAAAGAATGCACATCAGTTGGGCAAGTGTTCAGAGCATTTCTGTAGTTGGCATCAGACTCCCATGTAGTTAGGACCTGCTGGTTTTGTATGTAGTACAAACTATTAACTGATCTGGTAGCTCTTTAAACTTTGTAATACTTCAGACTTGTTTGTAATAATCAGAACTTTATTATAGATGAAGGAGACCCTTTGGATTTATAGTCTTTTATTATGGTCTGTCTTGTGGTGAAGTCTTAATTTACAGGTATAAAGCAATATTACACATTTATGCATAGGGCAGAAGAAGAGGCTCCTTGCAACCAATCTCCTTGGTTTTGTAGAACACACAGATCTTAGTGTGTTTTCACTTAGTTGAAACAGAGAAGTAGGGTTGTCTGTCTTCTTTCAAGATGACAAATCCTGAGAAAGTTCTGTATGATGGTCTTATAGTCCCAGGTGCCCAGTAAAGCATTTTAGCTTCCCTTTCTCATGAAATTTAGAAGGAGACAGTAAAAGTACAGCATCTATTGAGAGCAACTTGTAGGTCCTTTTTTCCCCTGCTTCCATTTGAAATCAAACCTATAGGAGCAAACAATCAGTTTGTGACACGACTGGAGTTAGAAATGGTGTTTGCAGAGTCACAGAGATGAGTTGGATTGAGGTCTTGTCCTGAAAAAGCCACATTTTCCATCAAATATGTTGGGGTCAAAAGGGACTGCCTAGAGTAAATATAAATTCATACTGGAGATCGGATAAATCAAACGACTTTCCTCCTCAGCTGGTTGATAAGAGGAAAAAAAGTCATCTCTTTGCAAATGGCACAGAGATGCTTTAAAACAGATTGACATAAAGTTTGGACAGGCTACCAAGCTGTGTTAACTTTAAACAGTTACATGTTCCTGCCACTCTTAATGTTCTGTATGGCTAATGCATCCAGCCTTGTAGAAAACTGCTTCATATGTTATGGTTGGAAACCTTTTTTTTAGTAAATTTCTGCTCTTAGACCAACAGAAATTTTACCTAGTAATGTCCTTTTCAGAATAAGATAAAAGCAATGACTTCCAGAGGATCAGCAAGTGTAATTTCAGAAGAGGTGCTAAAAGGCCAAGATTCCTTGACAACAGACAGAGGACAGTCTGTGCAACCTGAAGAGAGATCTGCTACTGCTAGAGCAGAGCACACAGAGAAAGCTGATGACCTTCCTCAACAGGCAGATGATTTATCATTCAGTCTGGATGAACTAAATGTCACTTCATCTCCTGAAGCCTCAGCTGTTCGTCCAAACCACGACTACAATTTAGTGAATTCTTTGCTGAATCTCACAAGAAGCCCGGTGAGTAGTTTTCATTCCCTTTCAATGGGACTGAAAATGAGTAGAGCGTTTGGGATGTTGCAAAACCTCAGAAATAAGTGTAGGATTTGTGTCTCAGTCAACTTTTCCCCTGATTCATATTGAAGTAAAAGATTCTTTCTGATAATGTCAAGGAAAGTTGGGAAAGACTTGACTTGCTATTACTTACAGAATACAGCAGGGAGTATAAAACTTTTTGGACTTCCCTGTAATTGTGAGGTGATGGTTGGTTTGAGCCTAATCTAATGTGCAACTGTATAAATTTTAGGTTTACAATTACCATGTCAAAAACCTTCTTCAAGAAAGAAGTTTTTTAATGGTAAGATTTAAATCCAATAGAAATATTTGTTCCACATTCTGAACAAGAAACATCAAGAAATTCATTCAACCTGTTTTTCCTTTTTTGAAGACTTTTTTCTGATGTTTGGCTTTGAAGGAGTTTTGTTCTTGGTTTGTTTAACTATCTTGTGTTTGCTGTGCAGGATGGTCGAATAGCAGTGAAAGCATGTGAAGGACTCATGCTTTTAGTGAGTTTGCCTGAGCCAGCAGCAGCCAGGTGCTTGATCGAAAGCACTTGTTTATGTGAATTGCTTACAGACAGGCTTGCCACACTCTACAAAGCCCTGCCTCAATCTGTAGATCCTTTAGATATTGAAACAGTAGAGGCAATTAACTGGGGGTAAGTATGTTGTTTCTCTTTTTAATATGTGAGGGCTTTGCATCATGCACTGAAACAGAGTTTCTATGGTTAGATTAGATATTTAGCATAGGTAAAGCAAACAAACAAGCAGGTTCAGTAAGAGTTTGGATATTATATGGAACTCTGAAGACTTGGACTATCCTGTGCATTTCTTATTTTTGAGAGACAGCTACTAGTTCATGGGCAGTTGGTTATCCTAAGAGCACATACCCCATTGCATTTGGTTAGATTTTAGTTGAAATCTATGGTAATTCATGAGCCTTCTGCCTTTGAACTAATATCATGCATAGTTTGTGCTATATATAAGTAGGTACAAAAGTGCTGCTTAAAAGTATATTTATGGAGCGCCTGTGCTAAAGTAGCAGTTTCAAAAAAGGTAAAATGCATCAATTCTGGATGAACTAAGTATATATTACTACAGGCATGATTATTTCAAAGGCAGTGTTTTCAAATTTGCCCCTCAATTCCATGTGCTCAGAGAGAGCAGGGTCTGACAGTAAGGTGGGGTGTGGGGCTGCAGGGGGGAGAAATTGGGGAGACAGTGGGCAAGGGGGCCACATGCCTCCCCCCAGATTTATTTTCTGTGATGTAGTAATGGGAGAGAGACAATTTCATGGCAAACCTCCAGTAATCAGATTCTGTGCCTGGAATTTGTTATAATACATTTGTAAATTGTCCATATATAGAATCTAATTCTATATATGGGAGGGGGATTTTCTTATGTTAAGGGTCATCTCATATTTGACTAAATACAGTATTTTTCTAAAAGAGATCCTTTAGGTCAGCTACTAGGTGTGGGGTTGGCTGCATGGAAGTCTCCTATACAGCAAAGAAGAATTATTTCCTTTACCACACCACAGGAATTAATTTGTCAGTTTAATGAAAATTTAGTGTAATGGGATGATCAATAGTCCTTGATGTTTTAATAGATTTTAAAATCAATCTAAGTATTGTGAAGTAGAATTATTCTGGTGAACCTACTGTGTATACTTGAACATGTCATTTAAGTCAATAGAGTGGTTTGGTAGCACTGCAGTATAATTGGGAGGCCAAGAGCAAAACCGTTATCCCTCTTCTCTTTCTGAGCAGTGCTATTAGAAGAGATAGGGAATTTTGCCAGTGTATTCAGTGTGAGCAGTATTGGGTCCAGTATTTTGTTTAATGCGCCTAGAGTAGATGTGTCTGTTTCCCTTTGTCCTCCAGTTTGGATTCATATAACTACAAAGAAGATGCTTCTGCATTTCCGGGGAAAAGAGCCCTCATTTCCTTTTTCTCCTGGTTCGACTACTGTGATCAGCTCATTAAGGAAGCGCAAAAGGTTTGAAATGTTTTCTAGCCTAAACATGGATAATCCAGACTAAGTTCAGAAAAGACATTGTTCCACTTGTTCTGTAGCCTTTGAGTTTGAAAGCTAGTGTTTTGTACCCTGTGTTTCAGACTGCTGCTGTCACTATGGCAAGAGCTGTGCGAGAACGATTTTTTGTTGGTGTCATAGAACCTCAGCTGATGCAAACGTGAGTGGCCTCTTCCATGTGGAAAACATGTCATGTTGACATTTTCAGAGTGAATCCCTTATCTTAATAACATTTAGCTTATTGTTCAGTTCAGAGATCGGGATCCTCACATCAACTGCACTTTTACATCGTATTGTCCGCCAAGTCACGTCAGACGTCTTGCTGCAAGAAATGGTTTACTTCCTACTTGGAGAGCACAGGGAGCCAGAAACCCTGACAGACATCAATAGACATCCATTGCGACATAGGTTAATTGAGCACTGTGATCATATTTCTGATGAGGTGAGCAATCACAAAGTCAGTGTGTGTATCTACAGTGCAGTTGTTGTCTGCACAGTGACTGCAGAAATGGCATTGTGAGGTTCCATGCTTAGTTGTGTTGTTAATATCTAGCTAAGTTTTGCCAGTGAGAAGGCAGGGGAGATTTTTTTCACTGCCCATCCTATACAACTCCCACTAGGGAGTGAAAGTCAGACTGTTCTGTCTGACCAGCACATCACTACCACATAAAGTGCTTTTGTGCCTAATTTCCATACACCTGTCCATGTCTTTTTGGGGCTTGCCTTCATGTAAGTTGCTGCAAAATCTGGTCCCTCCTTTGGAGTTGATTTTAGATTTTTGTTAATGATGTCATATTCCCTTTTCTCTTTGCCATGCTGGTTCTGTCAGGCTGCCATTAAAGGACAATAAAACTTATTTTTGTTGCTCAAGTCAATAGATAGAACTGAGAATGTGCACACTGTAGATATGCTGACTATAAAGTGCTGGAGTTACAGTAAGTGCTGATCCTTCAAGCTACTCCATTCAGAGATCTGTTGAAATAATTTGACTTCACTGAGACTCCCCATGGACCAGCTTGCAGTCACCCTTTTCAAAAAGAAATGCTTATGTGGGAAATTCTTATAGAATCCATTTTTCCTTCCTTGCACATTCCTGAATTTGTGTATTCTGTCTTATGTCACCCCTTGCACTCTAAATTTAAATACTGTATGCCTTTGCCCTTTCCTTTTTCAATACATCACTCAGTGCTTTACATGCTCATTTTGCCTAGCTATTAAATGCACTAGCAGACACCTATAAACCAGGGCATCAACATAAGCTGATTTTTCAGACATGAAAAGGCACCTCAGAAATCCCTCTGCAGCCCATTGGAGGTCAGCTGTCAGTCCTGTTGAAGATCATTCTCCTTTTGTGCAGGTGCCTGGTTTGAATATTTCAGATCATAAAACAAGTCAGAGTATACCTGTACTGCTTCCCTGTTGCTTTTAGGCCCTGAACCCAGTGTGTGGGTCTGCCGTGGCTCATAGCATTGAAGCTTAAGTTTGTGAGTGTTTTTGCAGGAGCACTGTGAGTATGGCACAATTCATCTGTCTTACAGAGCTGTGTCAATCTGCTGCTGTATAAAAATGAAGGTTTTAATTAATACACAGACCACTGTATTCTTTCCCCACATCTGCATGTATGCAGCACCTTGCACAATGATGTTCTGCTCCTGATAGGCACCTTTTGTAATACATACGAATAATAACAGCAATATCCCAGTCTGAGTAAATACAGCCACTCTTATTAAGATGAGAATAGCAAATTTAAGGGTGGTATGGGGGTTTACTTGAATAATTTATTTTTATGTTGCAGATCAGCATCATGACTTTAAGAATGTTTGAGCACCTTTTGCAAAAACCCAACGAACACATTCTTTACAACTTGGTTCTAAGGAATTTAGAAGAAAGAAATTACATGGAATATAAACCACCCTGTCAGGAAGACAAAGATGTAGTGGAGAATGGGCAGATAGCAGGAGCAGTGTAAGTTTTCCTGTTTTGTGAGTGAGAAACTTTACATCAGCCGAGCACTTTTCACTTCTTTACTTTCAAAGTAAAACTCCTTTATGATCAATGCTTTTGTTTACTGAAGGAGAAGGAAAAAATGATTTATCCTTTGTGTGAGCATCATTGTAATAACTACTACAGTCTGTAACCATATTTAAGATACAATTTACTATATCAACAACATGTGGAAAAGAGGCTAGCAAACAGCAAAAACCTCTTCCTTAAATAGTAACATACACGAAGGTCTGCATTTAGCAAGTTACTTGCATATATCCCAAACTTTAAATGCACATAGCCCCGTTGGCTTCAGTAGGACTTATCATTGGAGGTTAGCCCCATGTCTAAGAATCTTGCTGAATCTGGACCATAGTGTCCTTAATCTTCAGTGTTTAAGCATTTCAAACACCCTTCAAAGGTGGTATACAGGCAGTCCTCAGACTTACAACACAATTGGTTTCTGAAAAACCACATCTTAGGTCAAAACATTGCAACTCGGAACCAATTTTCTCATAAGAAACAATGTCATAAATGGGGGATTGGTTCCTGAACCAAGGCCCGATACCCTATTTTCACTAAAAATACCCCAGAATTTTGTACTCGATTAATTATAGATGATTAATATAGCTACATTAATGCATTTATATTGTTAAATAGCAATCATATTTATTTGGAAGGACTTCTTTGAGGTGACTTTGCTGGACTTTTTGAAAGGCTCCTGGTTGGACTTTTGAAGGGTTCTTGTCTGGAGTCTTCTCAGGAGTCTTGGCTGCAGGTTTTTCTGGAGTGTTGTCTGCTTTCTTAAGCAAGGTGTCCCAGGCAGTTTGGACAGATGTTCTCCAGGGAGATGAGTGATGCAGCGAACTTGTTTGCTGGCGTGGCGTTGCATCAGATCAAGTGTTGTAAAGTCGAAACTGATGTCATAAAATTGAAAAAGTTGAATGTATAAACATTGTAAGTGCGAAACGTTGTAACTCGAAATGTTGTAAGTCAAGGACTGCCTGTATAAGTATTATTGTCCCCTTCATATGTACAGGGGGAAACTGAGTCAAAATATAACTTGATACAGAGGAATTCATTGTACCAGAATTAGATACAAGAAATTCCTGGCTCTGTAGCACAGACCACTAAATAAGCCTCTGCCTAAAAAGATGGGCATAATTTTTCTCTCTAAATACTGATATTGTTGCATAATCATTCATTGAAATGTTGTCCAAATTGTGGCAATCTAGAGAGCCTATGCCTGTCAAGTAGAAGTCTTCATATCTTCCATAATATATTAATGAATCATTCTGTGCTTGTGTCTAATATCATGTTACAGAGACCTGGAAGAAGATCCATTATTTACTGATCTCTCCCCGGATAACACATTGTTGAATCAGGAGTGGCTGAGTGCCTCTCCACCTATCAGTCCAGAACATCCAAGAAATGACGGGAAGACTGAAGTTCATAAAATTGTAAATAGGTGAGTTGGAAAGAAGAAATGTGTGTGAGAGAGAGAGAGCGCATAAAATAAATTTAATTTAGATGGTTAGTTGGCATTGTGCCGTTTTGTGTAAGCTGGTGGAATGACTCAGTAGAAATAAACAGTTTAGCAGTTTCAGTCAGTGGGTTCCTCCTCAAGGGTTAGAGTTTGTAACAGGCAACTAAAATAATTCAATATAAGGTAGCCAGCATAAGCTAACATAAGGCAGAACTTCCCAGCCAGAGACTCTACATAGTTTTTTTGGCCTTTTAGCTATGAGGCTGCTGGGTTATAAAGATATCTCCCCTTTCATGAGCATTTGCTGTGTTCATCTTTCTCTTAAGCAGCCAGTCTCCTAAATCTTGACAATCCTGCACTGAAGACAGTGGGAATTTTGCATAGCTCAGCCCATAGTTGTCCCCTGAACAATTGTGCAGTGGGTAGTGGAGGATGAATTATAGTTCATCCATTGTTCCCATTCTCAGGGAATGATGCCACATCTCTCTCTCCTGTAATTTATGGCTGTGCATACTCTGAACTAGAAATGAGAAGTCTTGGTGTAATTTATGTCAGCTTGTCTGTACACACATGGAGATTGCAGTAGGATCTAAAATAGTCAAATGTCCATCTATCCTGATAGCCTGCACAGATTGCAGTATTACTGTGCTTTGCAGCTAGGCAGCAGAGGATAGCTTGGTTGTCGTTAGCAAATAGCTGTCCTTGAATGGATGCTGACAGACAACTAAAGCAGCATAGCCAACACTGATAGAGTTTTACCCCTGATTCAAGAGGGATTCTTCACTGGATTAGATGGAGTTATCCCTGTTTAGGGGGTTGCATCTTTTTTTTTCTTTTTTCCAACTACTTTTTTTTTACAGCAGTTTAATGCCAATTACATCTCTGTAAGTATTCTGCCCTTCCATAGATGCAAAGAGGACAGATTATTAAAAGTGGTTTAGCTTTGGTATTTTTCTTGAAGGTAATAATATGAAGAGTGGGGTCAGATGCCATCTAATAACTTAATCCACATTAGCAAGGTAGCACCAATGTTTTGGTGTTAATCATATCATAAATTGCAATGTGCCATGAGCTCAGCCAATTTATGGTGCCATAAAACAGCTAACAAGCCACAAACATGTTCCTCATATAATGTAAAATATCTTTGTGGCTGCTTTCTATGGTGCCTTAAATTGAATGTGTAGCATGTGTCTTGGATCTGGGGCTGTCCTGACCAATGCAGGTTATCACCTGTTTATTGGCTGTGGCACCAGATAGCCCTGGGCCCTGTTTGAGACCAGCAGATCTTGGCAATCAGGCTGGAAACTGCTCTGGGTCTCAAAATGGCTGAGTGCCGGGATCAGGCATGGGGCATGCCTGGGGCTAAGATGTAGCTGCCCATACCCAATCTGTGGGATTAGGATTGAGGCAGCCCCAGGACCTGGTTCAGTCCAGCAGTTGCAGAGTTGGGACTGGAGGAATCTTATGCCGCATCTCACATCTAACCTACCAGGGTGCATGATTTTGGGAAAGAGTATACAATTCCTCTCATCCTGGTTGTGCCATTATTTTAACATCTGCCAGGGACCCAAGGGAAGTAAACTGTTTGAATACCAGATTGAATAGTTGTAGTGTATTTTGTTTTGTTTTCCCCAGACACTGTTGTCCAGTTATATGTGCACTAGTTAGTGCAATGGAAATCTCCTGGGTATTTGAAATGCTTTGCAGAAGATTTCGCATTTTTCTTTGTTAATAAGAAGCACATGGGAGATGTCCACTGATGCTCTGCTTTCCCTTACACACACAATTCTCACTGGTATCATTGGCCATTCTCTGCCCATAGGGGGACACTGGCAACCATTTCTGAAAGTCAGATTTTCTTTAACTTACCTCGGATGAAGTAATGCTTGCTTATTTCCTTCTAATGAGTTAGCGTTTCCTAGAACTAAGACTCAATTCAATGTCTGCTGAAGGCTTACAGCCATTATACAAAACTCAACAAATGGCAGCAATATTTGTAGCTGGAATATCTACCAACAAATAATCCATTATCTTTTTTACTGTCTTTCATCATAACAAACTGAAAATAAATTATTTATTCAATAAAAGCACTTAAAATTAACTTAATTTAGCTTTAAATATGGATTCCCTTCTCTTGGACTTGATGAGTGGACCAATAGACTTTCTATGGATTTGGCCTTGATGTGGTTTTATCTTGAGCAAATGCTGGGAAGTGGCTATGATCTTCCACCTTTTTTTTACTAGCCAGCTTTCAGAAGTAACAAACCCTCCACTTGTTTCCCCATATTTTGTACTAGAGAGACAAACTTTTGTACATCTAAGCACACAAACACTTCAGAATACAAATCAGTGGTTATATGGCTAAATGTACTGACCATAGATTTCATGGTGCCATTTCTTCGTGTAATGTTACCCTGTTAACCCCCTTTGTAGATTGAATAGATGATTCAGTCTTGTAACCACTGATGATGAAATTCTGGCCTGCTGTCATACAGACTAACGTTTATTTATCAATGTATTTATATTTCTTTTAGCTTTCTCTGTCTTGTACCAGATGAAGCCAAATCATCATACCACGTAGAGGGTACAGGTTATGACACCTACCTCAGAGATGCCCACAGACAGGTATGGTACAAAACTCATCTTTTCCTCTCACTAATCAATGCAGGAATTTGAGTTGCTCATTAGAATTTACACGTGGTTTTGGAAAAGTTTAGTCCTATGGAAAATATCTTTCAAAATAAGCTGGTGATAGAAGAATGCAAATTCAGTTGATATGGACTAATCAGAATTTACCTGTAGAGTTTTTAATTGAGTTGAAATCCAGTTACCACAAATATAATGGGAATTATGGATGATTTTAAGTGCATTAATATTCATGCAAGAAATATAATAAGAAGAAACCTGCACTGCAGACTGGTTCTTAAATTGCTTTTGTGTTTATTTGCATTCACTAGATGAATTGTCTGGCAGGATCTTTGAAAGAACTGAGGGGATGTAAAAATTCTGTATATGAGTTACAGAACCCAGGGCTTTCAAAATAAAGGTTCAGTGTAAATAACGTGTAGCCTCAGGCATGCAGGCTTGAAGTTGAGAATACTGGTGGGAAGAGAAAACATCAATGTTTAATATTTTGAAATAACAAATGGAGTTTTTGTTTTGAAAATATATGAAAAATCTCCTTGGGCAGATAATAATTGACATTTGTTTGTAGTGTTCCCAAAGAAGGCCTGTGAATTCCTATAGAAGAACAAATTTGTGCAAGGGAAGTTAGAGAAACAAGGACAAAAATATGTGTAGCGGTGCTTGTAGTATTTTCCACTCTCTGAATAGTGGTAAGAACACTTTAAAACAGAAAGCTCTGCCTTCTGCATTGATGGGAGAGTTTTACCCATCACCTTTCCTGAAGAGAAAGGAAAATGGAAAGTGAAAACTTGGGGAGAGCAGCTATTTCCATACAGTTCTCATAAAATTCTAATTTTGGATGCAGGAAAGTGCATATTATATCCCTCCTTGGGGAAAGGAATCTTCTGAGAGCTATGAGAGAGGAGAATTGGTGTCTGCCATTTATTCACAAAGATATGCCTGTTGTTTGAAATATTTAACTTGAAAGGAAAATCTCCATGCTGGTACGATTCCACCCAAGTAGTTGTTCTAATTCCTTAAGTCTATACTTTGAAGAAAATGCACAAGGGATTTTTCTCTCACTTGCACCTGTTTTATTCCAACATAAATTCACTGACTGCCGTTACTCCTGCTTCAGATGAATCCCAGGCAGTATGTATGCATCACTGTGACCATCCCATATTCGTATGCCAAGCCAGCGAAAATGTCAGGGCTCCATTCTCCCTGAAAGATGTTTGTAGAAGTCCCATAAGGTTGCACACATCATTAGGGGGAAAAGGGTATCTGCATTGAGGCTGATATTTTTTTGTCATGGAGTGTTTTCAAAATGGGATGGTAGTAAGAAGAGAAGTTCTCCACTAGCCACCACTTATAGTTCTGTGTATCGCTGGGTAGGAACAAGACGTGAAATGGTTTCTACAAATGATCTTGCTTCTGCAGTCTGCACTGTGTTTTGTTTAAAGTTAAGTATGTTTTGCTTTCTTCCTAGTTCCGGGATTATTGTGCGATCTGCCTACGATGGGAGTGGCCAGGTTCTCCCAGGTCTTTGGAAAACTGCAATTTAGAAGCACCATTTTTTGAAGGACATTTCTTGAAAGTTTTGTTTGACCGAATGGGCAGGATTCTTGATCAGGTAACAGAAAGCACATTTTGACTCTCATTTCTGATGCTATTGTTTCTTATTAACGACTAGTTTCCACAAGGTTACATCAATACCTATACTACATGCTGAACAGTATATTATTGTGTAACTCCCCTCCCATATTCTATATAATTTGACTTCCCTAGGTAATAGGAACATTAAGGTTTTAGTTTGGCAGTCTTCTCCAGTTGCCAGAGGAGTTAGTCTACATCATATCCTTGCTGTTGGGATCTCTAGACTGGTAAGTTCCATAGCAACTGGCACTCTATAAATACTAAAAGTAGATTAACTTCACTTGCACTAAACTCCATTTAGTTCTGTTAACAGACTTTTTTGTGTATTAAATGTTTTCTCTAATCTTACATTTATTTAAATTAAAATACAGATTGTTAGAAATGTCCCCAAAGTTTAAGGTGGGTAAGGAACTACTGTTGTCAAGTTAACAAAAATTCAAATATTTCTTGCATGATTGTCCTCCCAGCAGGCAGTGGATGTTATGGAAGGAATAAAGGATGGAAGAAGACATGTTTAATAGCTAAAAAGTTGCTTGTATTTTTAACAGGTTATAAAAAATATGACCTTTGCAAATGTTAGCTTCATTAAGCCTATTCTGATTTTTCCAGCATTTACATTTACGTTTTTCTAACAGTTCAGGTCCAGTATATACTAATAAGCTTTACTGTATAATAACTGTCCATTATATTAAAACTAAAACAGTATCATTATATATTTTGCACCATGCTCTCCTTATACTAGAGAGCTAAGAACATTTCTAGAGGGCATGGATTTCCTCCCCACCAACTCCAATAGACCTAATAATATGTCTTTCCCTACCATTTCATTATATTCTAATATTAATATAGCTGTTACAAGCAGAAGAAATTGGTGATACCTTTTTATTTAACCCCATTTTATGATATTTTTTCCTTTCTCTTTTTTCTTTCTCTTCTCTCTTTTCTGCCTTTGTCCTCTCTGTGGCTCTGTCTTCACTAGAGGAGGGAAAAAGGGTGATTTTTTTTGTGTATGAAAACTTTAGACTTCATTAGGATTTTACCTCAAGTTCCTGAAGTTGAGCTAGCTCTTAGAGTTAAGACCCCTTGCACACTTTTTTCTCAAGAAAACAAGACCTGAAAGTCTATATTATCTCCAGAGTACTGTTACATGGAGTGCTATACAAGTGGTGCTTTCAAGTGTTCAGTGAAAAGTGAAACCTTCCTTGGCATTTTTATAAGTGCAGATTAGACAAATACTTGTGTAGGATGGCTTAGTTGAGGGTGTTTTTGCTTTGAACAGGGATTGCACTAGACAACCTCCTTAGGTCCCTTCCAGCCCTGCTTTACTGTGGTTCTGTGATTCCCTGAAAACAACTTTGCAGCTAGCTCCATGTGTAAGATGGTGCTGCCAGAAGAGATGGGAAGAGCCAAAAGAGCAGATGAGGGCTCATAGACCATGGCAGAAGGCAACAGCGCCCAGAAGCTGTGACCTGCCCGTTTTTGGAGAAAAGCCCACACACAAGTTGAATTTAATTTATAAAGTCGAGAAGATTTCAAAAGGAAAGGTGAAACACATTTCATCATTACACCACTGGGCGCCTATACACAAGTGCAGAGGCTGCTCCAGCCTGCTGGAATTCCAGCACATTGGAGCAGACTCGATGAATTGAGTCAAACAAACTTTAGTTCAGGTGCACCCCCTGCCATTTTTAAGCGCAGGACCATTAAAGCATGAGATGCAGCAGTGCTTTAATTAGAGCAGCTCTTAGAGCCACTCTAATTAAAGCACTGCTCCCCCCACTTTGTCTACATACTGCAGAATGTATCCTTATATCATGTCATCTTCAGTGTACTCCATCCAGACTAAGTAAGCCCTAGGGCAGATTTTGTACTGTAACACTGAATTTCTTTGAGTTTTATTATAGTTAGATGCTTATTGCATTAGATTAATCTTATTTTTCCACATTGGAAAAGACTGAGATTTCAAAGCCAGGTATGCATGCTAATGCATATATATCATTAACCACTTGATTTTAATATCAACTATGTTTTCTATGATTTTGGGTGCATCAGAAATTCCATATTTTTGGGGAAAGAGGAAACATTTTTCTGGCAAATGGTTTTTGTATCTGTTGTACTTGTTGCGTCCGGATTAACTTAAAAAACATGTTGTATACTCTTAAGGTCTTGTTTTCAATACACACGTATTCCACACATCACTAACTGAAGTGTTATTAAAATTGAGTCATAAATAAATCTACGTATCATCAGCTCTTAGGAAGCATAAATCTCAGACATTTGAAAATTTTGTTTGGGCAGTGAGATAGAAATAGTAAATTGTAAAAGGGACAAAATATATCCCTCTGGGACCTCTGAAGAACAAATGCCTACTATTGGAATAAAAATAGCATCTGTTATTGAAGCACAATGCCAATTTGATGTAGTACCTGTCAGCATGGCCCAATTTCAGAGTTAGTCAAGCAAGATGTTACGGTCTGTGGCATCAAAAACAATACTCGACTCCAAAAGAATTAAAACACACAACCTGAACTGGGCAGCAGGAGTAAATTGCTAGAGTGACTTCCTACCAAAACCTATCCTTAAAACCAAATTGAAAAGTGTCCTGTGAATAATTAATAGTGAAGTGCTGATCTAACCCAGAAAAATAACCCTCAGCTCTATCAGATGATTTTGACATGATCCATGCTATTGGAAATGCCAGCCCCAAATGGAAAATTTAGAAGAGCATTTAATTATGTACACAGCAGCTGCAGGTTGTGTTAAACACTCTTTAAGCATTGTCACAATAATATAATACTCTTATGTAGTATTTTTTATTTGCAGATCATAGAAGGCTTTACAGAGGTCACTATTCTTAGTTTTGCTTTATTTAGTGAGGCAGAGAGACAGGTCCAAGGCCACCAGGCAGGCCGGTGGCAAAGCTGTGACTAGAACCAGGTCCCTTGAATCCCAGTTTGGTGCTTTATAACTAAGTTACGTTTCCCTCTGTTAGTAGTATAAACTGTACAGTACAACCCTGTTATAACAAACCTCTGCCTTGAGCTTCCCTAATTGATTGGAACCAATCCTTTTCATCATTATGAGACAGCAAATTGACTAACCCTATGATGGGAACACCTTTTAAAGAACTTTTCTCTCACTGTCCCACAGGGGTTTGTCAAATAATGAGGCTGAACTGTGTTTGCATGGTGCTAAGCTCTTTGTTTCTTAAGAGCTCATGTGGTCAAGTAGTTTCTTTCCTTCCTGTAGTCTGAGTGCTGTGGAAAGGAGTTGGCTTGACCTGATTCTGACTGGTACATCCTGGAAGTAATTTATTTGCGATCTCATCCGTTCCTGCAGCCTCTATGTGTTTCTTCAGACTTGAGTTTCCAGCCCTTGTGGCTGTGATGAAAACTGGGGGCTGGGTTAGCTGATGCATTGGTGCCCAACTGTGTCTGCTGACAAGCAGAGAAACAAATGCTCTGTGAGAAGAAACTCCTATCCTGAAAGCTTCAACTACTTCAAAACCCAGTACTTCCGCCTGCTGAACAGGCATCGCTGCCGTGCCTCATCCTCTGCTCTCGCCTTAGTGAATACTATGTCCCGTCCAGGGTTTCAGTCCTCTTCTCATCAAAATCTTCCTTAGGATTGAGCTCAGGTCACTTTAAAGCTTCCTGAAGCAGCTCCATTCCTCTGGCACAACAAAACCATCAGCCTCAAGAGGCAGGAAACACCGTGCACAACGAGTTGTGCTTTCACAGTAGATGAACCCAGATTGTGCACTTGTTTCTGGAAGGAATTGGGATGTTCTTGAATATCTGCCTTCAGAATAACTTGGCCTTGTTTGGGAACACCATCTTCAGCTTACAAACATCCTGATCATTTTTGCACTTCTGATCCAGAGGTCTTAAAATCCTTTACAAACGAAGATAAGGATCAGTTCTCTGTCATGTCGATGGAGGCTGAGGTACAAAAATCGTTCCCACTGATTGGGGGTAGAAAGAAAAGAGAACCTTGTAAGTTCACGTCAACCAGTCTGTGAAACACCTGGCTTCCCCCTTGAGTGACATGTTATAACCACAGGGGAGAGGTGTGATCTGTCACCTGATGCCTCGGTAGGACACGACTGAGAAGTGTAATGATAACAATTTAAATGTCAGCATAAACTGGTTCTCCAATGATCATTTTAAAAAGTCAAAATATCACCTCTCCCTCAGTAGCTGAAGAATAAGTACCAGGAACAGATATATAAAAATACCAGTTTTATGGAAATGTATTCCACTAAGGGAATTCTTATTCCTACCCATTGTTTCCATGCTTTTCTCTGAAGGCTGTTATTACCAGGCCAGGCAGACACAGATTTCACAAGTTCCTGATGGTGGTTACATTTTTATTTGTTCTTTAGAAAGGAGCACAAAATACCCTTCCTACTAAGGGTTGGCCAAGCTGCTTTTCTGGCCCTGAACCCCACAGTGCAGTACTTGCTTCTGCCACGAGATGGCCTAGCCATCTGTAAATGTCCTTCCTATTTCTGAGTGAAAGAGAAAGAAAAGAAAGAAAAGATCAGCCCTAAGCATTGCATAGTTTTCTATCTGTATGTTTCTAGTGTGCGTATCATTGTCGTTCATAGTCATCCAATAAAAGTCAGCAGCCGTTTTATCGAGATGGATTCTATTATGCAATTTCTGAATAGCTTGGCAGCAGTTTCTCCTGAACGGGATGTAATCTGTTCCAGCAGAGGCAAAAACTGAGAGATTCTGCTAAAATAAACTGAAATTCTCAGCCTGACTGAGTCATGGCCCTGTTCACACTATAAAGATCTGCGAACTGATTCTGCACTGATGTCTAGGGGCACCATGTGATTGCCAGAATCTTCCAATATGCCGTAATACCTCCCTCTGAGATATTACTCCTCCCTAGATCTCGTGGCTCTGTATAGGAGAGCAAGTATTATTATGTCTGTTTCCCAGTGCAGGACAGTGGGTTTGGATTGCATAGAAAATAACTTGTAGTTGACCCTATCTTTATTTAGAAAGGACCTGCATGTATGAGAGCCTGCTTGTGACTTTGGATAGGAAGAAAGCTAGTGCTTGAAGGCTGCACAAAGACAAGGACTTCAGTGATTTTAAGATCAGCACTGGAACATGCATCCTAGAAGGCAAAATGCTGGAAAAGGTGTATGCTATTACAGGATGCTTTCCAAGCAGTGTACCAACATGTTAATCAAGTTTTATGAAGAAGTTTGAGGTTTAAAATAATTGAAAATAGACTGTGTATGTGCAAAAGCTCCTTTTAAAGCAAAGGAGGATTTAAGTCCACTAACACCTAATGACAACTTTAAAAGGGGATAGTATTTTTATTGCCTGTGTTGCGATTATTCAGAAAGCTTTTGTGTTAAAAGGAACACAAATACATGCACGTAAAGATATCTACATTGACGAAGCAGCTAAAATTGGAGTTTAGTTGACCTAAAATATTGAGGCCAAATCCTACAGGAAAATAGTGCTCAACCTTTCCACAGGATAAAGTTTTGAAAGTTAGGACAGGCCTCCTTGATTCATCATCACTGAGCAGCTCTGCCTTGTTTTAAACCACAGCTGCAAACTGCACTCATTTTGCTGCAGTCAACCTCTCCTGTCCACCCCTCTAGTTCTCCATCACCAGCTTTCATGCTCATCGTAGCTGTGGCAGCAACAGCTACTTTAATCAGCTGTTGAAGCTGCCACTTCAGCACAAGTCATCTCCTTCATTCCTTGAGACTTCTCTTTGACACTTGGGCAGGTGTCAGACAGCATCACTCCATACATGCCTATCATGCTAGTTTTCTGCTGATTTTTTTACCACTCTAGATACTCAGTGCCATCAATACTTAAATATACCTGACGTGGACTTCTTGAGTGATATCCCTGCAGCTCCTCAATCTTGGGGTCTCTGCAGTTATATTTCCTGTATCAGTGAACTTCTCCCATTGCAGCATAATGGATAGTGTGCACTTTGTTCAAAAATGTAATGATAAGATCCACAAAGGCTATGGCAAAACTAAGGGCACACCCATGGCTAATAAAAAGATTGGAAAAGAGAATATTTCAAACGAGATCACAGAAGGAAAACATGTAAAAATGGTTAGGCGCATTCGGCTTAATGGAAAGGTGTAAAGCAGTCACAATTACTGCCTGTTCCAACAGCCAACCTTTGGGGTTTTTTCCATTTAGAAATCTGTTGATGCTGATTTGTTTGTGACTTAACCTAATTATTTTATCTGTTCCTCTCCCTCTGTTTTAGGCCCTTAGATGGCTCCCAAGCTCCTGTAATCTCAATCAGTTTCTCAATTCACAAGTGATCAAATATTTAGATCCTGTATAATCTTTAGCTAGCACCTCACTACATTTATTGTTTGTTTGTTTGTTTGTTTGTTTGTTTATGTGCGGGCGTAGCCTGATCTTCTGAATCAAAGACCTTGAATAATGATGATATTTGTTGCAGAGCAGCATGCAGTGTGTTGTGGCTGGGGGATTGCATGACTTCCCTGCTATTTTAACTTGGATTCCTCCCTGCTTCAGTAGCAACCTAAACATGGATTATAGGAAGAAGAGCTATAATGAAACTAACTGATGACTCCTTTTGTTCACAGCCATACGATGTAAATTTACAGGTTACGTCTGTGTTGTCCAAACTCTCCCTGTTTCCTCATCCACATATACACGAATACCTTTTGGATCCTTATGTAAATTTGGCTTCGGGTTGTCGATCTCTCTTCTCTGTTATTGTCAGGGTGAGTAAATGAAGAGGTAATGTTTATATGTGCTTACACCATGGTGAGAAACTTTGAATCTGTGTAACTAATTTTAAAGGGTGGGTAATTTTGGCTTTAGAGTGGCAACAGTTCAGTCTCTTTCAAGGAAAATAAAGATTCTTTACATGTCCTACAAGGGAAATTCACTTTCCACTGAATCAGCTGGTTGTATCTGAAAATGTTTCATTTCCATGTTCATGCAGTTTCATCATATGGACGTAGAATTCCCTTTACATCTTCAGTAATATTGTTTTAATGCTGGGTAGGCCATACTGCTGTCATTCATGTGGTAGTGTCACATGCTGCTGTAAGTACAAGCATCCATCTGTCCTAAGACTGGATTATGAAGGAGTTGGCTTGGATTCAGGCCCAAGTAAGCTCCACTTCTGAACACGCTGCTTTGCATGCAACACTTCAACACATGGACTCATGTCCCTGCCAAGTGAGACTCCCTCCCTCTGCCCTGCCTGTAGAGCCCAGTCCACTATAAAATAGCTCCTACTTATCTCCCTCCAATCTCATCTCTCCCTATAGCACACTGCCATCTCCACTTAACTAAGCAAGCCTCTTCTCTGACCACAGTCCCTTCCCTCCTGAGCCAGGGGTGAATCCTTTGCTAACTCTTTTCAGAGGGAGCTGTTCATTCTCCTACAGTGCCAAGCACATTGCTGGCACTTAAGTTTCTTGTCCCTTCATGTCACTGACTTCGCACCCTCTACAATGTTCCACCTTAATACCTCCCTTTCTGCAATCTTATCTAAAACTATTATAATATTGGCCAACTCTGTTCACCTGTGTTAGTTAGACACATTCACCACAGCTACAGGAAATTTCCGTTTGTGGTAGCTGTGAAGAAGGGTTTACAGTGCTTACACCTTACATCTGTCTTTATCTACTGTCCCCACATCTCTAATTCTTCCTAAGATTTTTTGGGTTTATGCAGTGCAGCTCTTTTGTCACTATCTAGTGACCAGACCTCACGGGTTCATAGTCTGCATGCAACCACAGTGCTGATCTTTTCAGCTCAGGCATTGGTCACTCGTGCTTGAAGATACAGAAGTCTGCCCCATTCAATCTTTGCTGCCAGCCATCCATCTGGGGTGTCAGGTTGCATCCAAATGACTCTGTTGGTTTCTCCAGTAATTAGAAGAAGGGCATGCTGTCAGTAGCTGACAAACTAGATAGAGTTTGGCCTGAGAATCCAAGGGCAGAAAGCTGCCCTTGTGGAACAGTTGTGTAGCTGAAATAACCACACCACAAGCTAAGTGCTATTTAAGCACCATTGTCTGGCTCTTTATTTGCATCACTTCATACAGTATGTCTCTGCCTCTGCGGTTTGCAGGTCGTTGGAGACCTTATGGTGAGAATCCAGCGCATTCCAGATTTCACTCCTAAACTTCTGCTGGTCAGAAAGCGTCTTCTTGGCTTAGAGCCTGAAGGGCCCATGTAAGTAAACTAAATTGCAGGCCTTTCGTGATATTTCTTTTGCTTTCATGTGCAGCTTCTCATCTTGTGTTGTTGTTTTTTTCTGTTTTGTTTTTTTCCCCTTGTTCCCAGCATTGACCACATGACATTACTAGAGGGAGTGATTGTACTGGAAGAGTTCTGTAAAGAGCTGGCAGCAATTGCATTTGTGAAATACCACACCTCATCTACACCGTAAATAAACGTATCATGTGGCTGAGCTCCAAAATCTTCTAGTATGTTTCAGTCAAAAAAAAAAAAAAAAAACCCCAACAAACCCATTGACCCACTCAGGCAAGCAGGGATAAAGCCTCCCACCAAAGTGCACACAACAGAATTACTATTGGGTGATGGTGAATGGCAAGTTCTTGGTCATCGTTTCACAATTTGTCAGTACAAGCCGTGTTGTGATGGAAATGAAGATCTATCCATTCAAGTTGACACTGAACCCAGAATGCAATCAAAGAGGCTTCAGGAAAATCAAAACATAACATTTCTAGCCATTGTTTGAAGAGCTGCAAAAACTGATGAACCCCAGGCATCCAAACTTTGCTCACTATTCTCTTGTTTTAACAGTGTTTTAGGAGTTTGGGGTTTTATTATAATCTGAGGTTTATATGCTTGCTTCTGTCTTGTGACCTTTATTATTTTTAAATATCAAGCTAATTTTGTAATGTTTTCATGTCTTAATTATTTAAGGTGTTTTTTTTTCTCTTCAACTGGAAATATGAAAGGAAAAGAGTGAGTCAGCAAGCAGAGAAAGAGTGTATTATTTAAAATGGAGAGAGGATGAAAAAACCTACAAATGCATATGATCTGTATCTGATTGATTTTAATTTTTTTGACTCTTCTGCAAAAAATTTCTGATTCACCACTGCATTTTTCAGAATTTGCATCAGTGTAAAGCTGATCTTAATGGAGTTGCACTGTACAACTGTCAGTAACGCAATGTTGAATCAGATCCTCTGTGTAGTTGGGAAGTATATTGCAAGAGTGGGTGTTTCTAGTATGGTGGTCTTTGACTTTCCAAATGATGTGTTGTGTTCATCTGTGTAAGTAGTTTTGCTATAGACTTCTGCGTGTGGGCCTCAGTTTGTCTGATTTATGTCCCTTCCATAAGGCTGTTAATTATACAGGTCGTTAGTAGTAGTTGCTAAAACAGTATTCATTTTGTTTTAAAATGCCGTTTAGCAGATGTTGGTTTAAGTATATTTCTGTGCCTTTAAAATTGGCAAAGGAAATCTTCTGTCATTCTTAACTTGTTTTTTTTACTGTTCTCATCCTAATGGTAGTGTCCATGCAAAAGATGGACTCATGCCACATGAGGCAGCACTCAAAGGGCTGATACTATTCTTAGGACCAAAACACCCCCACTGGTTTCCACAATGCTAGGAAGCCAGCCTGCTTCCCAGTGCACCCTTTGCAATATGAAACCTACCAGCCAGCACAAGCTATGGGGTACATGTACCAGCCAGAGCAGACACTGGAGGCTCAGGGGGATGGACCCCTCAAGCACCCTTTGCTCCTGCTCTTTTTGAGTGATTGCAACTTGCACCTCAACCAGCTCTTGTTGCTGTCAGTGGCATATGCACTAGCAAGACAGAGGGGCTGGACATGCTCCTTAACCTTCCTCCCAGTCATGGTGATCTTTGCCCTGCTGTTTGCACAGAACAGTCCCCCTAGCCGCTCCTGTTGACACTGAAGACAAGACAGACAAAGCAGGATGTAGCCCTGAATGTTTACAGTGTTTCCCTTTGCTTGTCTTGCCTAATACGCTATTTGCACACAGAGTGCCAGTTTCTAATCTGATTTACTTCAGTGTAAATTTGGACTAATTTAATCAAGTCACTTGAGTTCCTCCAGATTTGCATGAGTGTATCTGGCATAAGAATCTGGCTGCCCCTGATTTTGCTGCCTGTTTTGTTTTTTGGATTTTATATTTGTAGACACTTGATGGCGAGTACTTCTTTAAATTAGCAAGTATATAAAGCACAGCAAGAGCGTTCTCCCCAGTCATGGGCAAAAATCGCTCCCAAGTATGTTTAGCAGTGGGAGGGTTCTGCTGGTGAATACTCCTGTAAGGTTAATGGTTGTGGAACCTAAAAAAAAGCAGGTTTGGCACCACTCCAAAAGAGAGAAGCATTGCCCAAAGGCGACTGCTGTAACGCAGCATGTTGATTCACCAGCTCCCTGCGCTGCTTGCCATCCACAGAACTACAGCGCCTCACAACCGGCACAAATGATGTTCCCAAGAGAGCGTGGCTTTGGCTTTAACTGTTACATGGAAATATTCCTTTTACTTCCCTGCACCAGATTTGCTAAATTTGGCCAAATAAAGTTTTCATCAGATAGCTTAATAAGAGCAGATTTAAGGAAGAATGGTTTCTCTTCATTCCTGTCCTTTTAGACAGATGTTTTGTGAATAGCAAATGATTTTTAGAGTGACGTGCATTACAATCAGTTCATTTGAGAAGCTTTGTTAATTTAATGTAACTGCCAGTACACAGTGCACATAGCACACACACATATATATATATATATATGTAGATTTATATGTAATACACATAGTTATGTTAACTTAGGCCCTCAATTAGCCAAGCATTTAAACATGAGCTTAATTTCAAGTATTTTCCCAAGTCACAGTCGTTTTAACAAAACTTAGGAAGATGCTCAAAGATAAGCAGTGGAGCTACACACACATTTAAGGGCTCTGCTGAATTGACACCTTTATTGTTTTAGCTTGTAGTTTGAGTTTAATTGTGTTTTCCTCCCAATTTAATTACTATTTTCATTATTTATTGGGAAACAAACCCTCTGACTCTTAGAATTTGCCTAATATCCTATTAGCAACAAACCGGAAGACGTAACACTGTTAACATGAAAGCAAGAAAGATCATAAGGTAAATCTCCACTGGAGCAGTCTGAATAATGCAATCACAGTAAAGCCATTCAAGAAGTGCAGGGTGGAGACAGTGGCATTATTTTTTTAATCAGTTGCTGATTCCTGAGCTCATTGCACAGTAAAGGGTTGTATCCATCACTGCATGCAAAGACAGCAGCAGCATCTGTATCTTTTAAATGCAAAACAATCCACCTAGCTGCAACTCTGATGAATTAGTGCTTGCACTGCAGAACAATAAAGGATCACTGCAAATACTCTTAAATCAGAGATGTAATTGTTTAGTGTTCGGTCTTCCGTAGCCATGGTGATGTTATCTGACAAACCAAATGTAATTCAGCCCATAAATTATAAAAAGTGGATCTATCTTGATATCTAAATCAATGCAAAGGAAAGCTTTAGCCTTTACTGCTTATGTGGGCGGTCCTTACAAAACCATAATGACCAGAAATGATGACAATGACTTTATTTTATATATAAAAAAGACCATTTGAATTTTCCTTTAGAGAGAGAACTTTCTTTCTGTTTAAGTTTTTCATGCACTTTTATTTTTTAAAGTGGGGAGTTAAAGTCCACATTTTCATTCATCAGATCTATGTATGTCACTGAGATGCCTGTTTTGGTTCTCTGTGTTTATACACGCGTTTGTAACTAGTTATTTATTGCCCACAAGTGAACACTTGAGAAACACCGGCCCTGGAGCGAGATGTTCAGTGCATATGCAAATCCCTCAGGTGTGCATGGGACCGGCAGGTGCTGCTCACTACCCTGGAAAATGTGGCCACTAGTGTTAGAGTGATGTACTTGGCGGGGGGAATAGTGGGAGTAGTTGGTTCCAATAAGCAGATCCAAACTGCATTTTAACCCTAATGCACATTTCTGTAAATAAAGACACTTTTACTTTTTTGCCATGTATGTATCTGATTTGGAAGCTGATGTAGAAAATTTTGTAATAAGTAACATATCATACGTGCTAGAACAGAAGTTTGTCCATAGTCTGTTTCCCGTAGTCTCCCTAGCATTCCAATCTTGTCAATGTAACGTTCAATAATGTATTCGTCTGTGCAATATGAGAGCTGTGATTTGATACACAGCTTCAGTCTGGTTGTACATCACCTGTGTATATACAAGGACCGAAATCCTGAGCTCGCTTACACTATTGCTAGTGTAAAGATTGTTACACTTGATTTTACAGGGCACCGGTAATCATGGAATTGCTTTGTACGTGCATGGTAAATTTCTTACCATGACTTACTGTATGAATGCACAGCTGCAATGTGATTATGAAATACATCCTTATTTGTCTTGCTGAGAGAAATGTTATAGTGAAGTACTATGTAAAATCTACAGATTGCATAAATATGCTTTGGGTTGTATGATAAATCGCAATCTGTAAACTGTATAATATACAAGGCTTTCCAACCATGGTCACTAATATTTTCTGTGCCCTGTAAAATAGTGTTACTCTGTGAATATATTCTCTTTGTTTTGCCTCCTGCCTTGTTTACATTAAACAGAGGATATTCAGTAAACTTTTTCTATTGAACTTTGTGTAGGTCACTGACTGACAGTGTTGCCAAGGGTTAGCAGATGTGTGATTTCCAACAAAGGAACTGTTGAAGCAGCCATATTACAATACGTACAATACCAAGTTTTACAAAGGAGGTTGTGATACAATACAATTTTTGTGCTAACTGCATGCAGGATTAAAAGGGATATTCTCAAAATAAATTAATCTAATTTAAATGAAGTGATTGCTGATTTATATTTTTGCAAAATTCCAAATGAGTTTTGGATGCTCATTTTTGGGAGAAAATGGCACAAAATCGCTGTGACAGAATGAAAATGTTGTATTTTGTATTGTGCATTTCATCCTGAAGGATATTCAGGCTCTGTACAAGTTTTGTATTTCAACAAATGCAGCCATTTCTGGGATAGAGCATAGCAGATGTTTGTTTGGACACAGCAACAGTATGGTTTAGTACACAAAGTGAAACAGTACATTCAGTCTCCCATTTAAAACCTGGAGGTAAGTGAAGCAGACTGAATGTAATCACTCACTCCAGATAGGCTAGTGTCCCACTACTTTGAGCTTGCAGATGGTCAAGACCCTAGTTGTATGTCTCATGTGACCTCCAAGAGCACAGTGCCTAGTTTACAGATCCAAATGCCAATGCCATCTACTTGAACTGCTGCCATGAGGTGCCTGCAACACCCTGAGGTTTCCTTTCTCTTTCTCGCCAACTTAGCTTCTGAACTCTAATGAAAAAGCAACTTGAGCAATACATGATATAGATCCCCGTGTGTGTGTATGTGGTACTGGGTGATTGTGGGTTGTCAGCATGGTACAGTATCTATCAGGTACCTGTCCTTGAAAACTGCTTCAGTTGCACTCTAATTCCTGTAAGCTCATTTACAAATGTTTTTATTTCTTGGTGTCCATTTTTACTCTCTGTTACTGTGTGCTGAGTGTAAAGGAGAGAAACCACTGCAAATACTTTCTCAGCTGTAGCATAAAGATGGCAACACTTGCATTTCCTGCTCTCAAGATGCACTTAATAGGTGTATTTATGGGTTTCTGCGATCTCCAGCTTTACTCTTAGGCCCCAGAAATTCGTCATTTCCCATTATTTTCTTTGCCTACAGAAAGGAGTCAAAGACTCCAGGACTTAAGTTCTTAGCAGTGTGGAGAGAGTGCTTAAAATGCTAGTCTTAAATCTTTCTCAGTTTTGACTATATGGCTTTTGCATCTCCCAAATACCCTATAGCAATCCTACATTTCAAAGCCAAGCTGCTATATTCAGGCTTTTGCCATTCGGATGCCTTTCTCTTTTGAGGGTCTATATACCTAAAAATAAAAGGCACAGTGGTCCATCTAGATGTGGCCTTTACTGTAATACTATTAACCCGTTTTATGGCCTCTTTGATGCAAGTATGATTAATACTGACTTACTGACTTCATTAACCTCCTAATACTTCTAGTGTCAAACAGGTGTGGAATGTGATCCAAGTGGGTTAAGGTAGATTAATGTTCAGATAAATGAATCTCTCACAAACTGGATAAGTCCTGTGGGCCTATACCCTGTGCCACTGACATGGCCTTTATCTGCTGAGCTCTGTTTGAAGGATGAACGGGAGAATTGAAGCACAATTCAGAAATCAAGTGAGGCATATGGTGGATTAGAGCCTTCAGGTGTCATAAGCTTCTGGGGAGTCTCAAAGCAAGGCAAGTGTGAAAAGCCAAATGTTACAAGTTCAGACAGATGGCTGGTCCCGCTTTTGGAGATCTGTAAAATAGGATACCGAGGTGCATCTGACTGACATTTTACAGCTTGGCTTCTCTTCAAGTGGCAGGGCCCATTGATGCCGCCCTTGGAGGATGATGCCTGTGTTATGTGACTCACTTTTGATCAGTCTTTCATGGCCTGCTTTCTGCTTGTTTACAGGAAAGGCTGTCAGTTGCATGAAATTAAATACCATGATACTGCAGGATTGACAGCTGTGACATTAAAAAACAGTATCTCATCACTTTGATAACATGAGCATACTACTTACTGCTTCTGCCTTTCTGCTCTTTTGTATTATGGTTGTGTTTTGTCCTAGTGAAGTACTTTAAATGCTGAAAAATATAACTCTCGACAGGAAAGAAAATAAAGGGTGGCCTCCTCCCTTACCGCAAAAGCTTATTACGTAATAGTGTGCTGGATGATTGCCAAAATTGCAACCAGGAAAATTCAGGTTGGATATTAGGTAGAACTCTCTAACTATGGTGGTTAAGCACTGGAGCTGCTGACTTAGGTTGTGGGATCTCTGCCACTGCAAGTGTTTAAGTGCATGTTAAATAGTTGGCTAGAATTGTTTAGACAGAAATGAATCCTGCCTTGAGCTCGGGGTTACGACCTCATGAGGTCCCTTTCTGTCCCTATTGTATGTAATATGATCCTATGATTTTAGATTGAAGATCCTGCAGAGAAGTACAAATCTATTCAGTTGACATATCTGGGTAACCAGATGAAATGGGCCTCAGTTGCTTCAAACAAACAGTTGCACAGATGGAGAGCTAGAAGGAAAGAAATCCTCCACGGAGAACCCAAGTCAGCCCAGCCCACTAAGCACGTGTCTACCTTAGGAATTTGTTAGACGGTTCCCAATCGGTGGTACGGGTACCACCAGTGGTACGCAGCCAGCCTCCCAGTGGTATGCATTAACAGATTTATTATCATTACTTTATATGGCAAAAATTTGCTGGTGATACTTAAGGTTGAATTGAAAAATTTGCTGGTGGTACTTAAGGTTGTATCATTTTAAATTGGTGATGTGCAATCTGTCAGGGTTTGGGGGCTGCTGGGTAAGATTAAGAAAAACAACTCCAGGAAGGTCGGTGTGGTGGGGGTGAAGATGTTTTGTGTGTGCTTGTGCATTTCAGGGAAGGCGGTGATGCCACCAGTCTACATTATCTACTCCCAGCTTGGAAGGAAAAAGCATAAACTGCAGGTCCTGCTTCTGCATAGTAATAAATGACTATTTTTGCCTGTTGAGACCAGGGCTGGAGGGAGTTCTGACAAGAGCATCAAAAGCTATTCAGGAAAGTGGGACTGACTGGCTGAGGTGGAAAGGTTAAAAGGGTTAAATGTGTCCAGAGTGCCTAAACCAATGGCGAAGGTGGAAGAGGAACATAAATCTACAAATGTATGAAGGATTTAACTGCCAAGAACTGAGGAATTATTTAGCATAATTGATGGGAGTGAAATTGGGCGTAATGGGATGGCACTAGGGAAAATTGAGGCTCAGTGTCAATGAAAACTCCCTGACAGTGAGATCTGTCAGCCTCCCAGGAGGAATAGCAGAAAACCCATCACTTGACACATTTGAAAATCAGACTGGACAAACCACTATTTAATGTACAACAGGAAGCCATCCTGCATTGGGAAGGAGATGAACTCAGGGGTCTCTTATCTCTCACGCTGCTGGGCTTATTAAGGGCTCTTGAATAATTTAAAGCTGTCCTGCTAGAACACAGGAGAGTGAATTGGTCCCCCTGAAAGTCTAACCCAAATAATTCTCGGTGATCCAAGGAAAGCAATTTTCAGCCCCTACAATGAGATTTGCTTAAGTAATAACCTCATTCCAAAAGTTGCGCCCTGCACAAATAGCAGGTGGTGACGCCTGATTAGCTTTGCCAAGGATCCTCACACACTGAGACACATTGTAGAGAAGAAACAAATTACCCAGGCCCTGAAACTTCATTATCTTTCACTCAAGAAACC